TTTTTTTTGGTGTCTGTGACTTAGCTAGGAGTGTCTGTGACCATTATTGGTGGTGGATTGGGATGTGAGACGATTTTTTTGGTGTCTATGACCTAATTATTGAACGGTTTTTTTGGTATCTTTGACCTAGCTATTGAATAGTGACATTTTTTTTGGGTGCCTGTGACTTAACTATTTGACTGTGACCCACAAATTTCAAAATATGTGACTTGTGACATATAATTTTTTTGATCTGTGATCAATAAAATGATCTGTGACCCATCTATATGGTAACTGTGACCTTAAAATTCATTACTTTGTGACCTTAAAAATATAACCTGTGATCTATAAATGTTTATCATTTTTGATCTGTGATTTCGAAATAATCTGTGACCAAATTGCATATAACTGTGACCTTAACAATTGTCGGAATCGGAACAGTCTCCAGAATTAAGCAGCTGCAGAATGGTTGTCGGAGTAGTCGCCGGAATTAAGTACGGTCGGAAAACAGTAGCCGGAACAATGGGGTGGGGGTGGGGGTGGGGGTGGGGTTAATCATATTATATTACAGTTAAATATTTAATTTAATATAATAATTGTGAAATATAATTAATTAATTCAAAAAAAAACTTGATTTTTGCAATTTTAAACTTTAGGACCTGATTTTTTATTTTGGTAGAGTAAATGCCTGATTCATAAATTTTTCCCTAAAAAGAAAAATAAAAAATTGAATTGGGTTTGGGGACAAGCCCAGTAAATCCGACCTTTGCTTTGTGAAAAAAAACCCAATGATATTACGTGCTTTTTTTTCGCTTATTACATGCTTAGTTTCCTAAAATTCTTTATCCCCAAGCACCCTCATTTTGAGGTAGCATCATCACAAGACCCTACAAATGGCACCACTCCTTGATCAAAATCTGGGAATGGACAAAAGATAATGCACATTGAGAAGAACCCAGAACAGAACAAAATAATCAAATTTAAAATTTTGCACTACAGCTGGCAAAGAATTGTTTGCACATGTACCTAACAATTTCCATTAGTTAAATCATCCATTATAACACAATTTTAGTGCTTTCTCTTTAATATTATCCTGTGATGTACATTCATAGGTGCCAAATATGTTACAACGTTTGTATTATGTAAAGGACAACAAGAACTTGGCAAGATGGTGGACAAAATGGACTTCACACGAGAAATTAAACTTTAGATTTTCAAGTAAAATCGAGAGAGCGCTACCAACAAAATTCGACATATCAAACTAGTTATAATTAACCATGAATTTCATCATATGCTCCCTTGTTAATATCACCATCTATTGACATATTAAACTAGTTCTATAAATGCAATTAAAAGGAAGAAAAAAAGTCTCTAAAATGACACAATGGGAATTGACATGGATGCGAGAAACATGTTCGATATGTTAAATTGAACTAGACTCAACCAAAAAACATATAAAATCCAGAAAAGAAGAAAATTTGACGAGAGGACAAGATAGGACTCATCATGGACACAAGCGACATATTTGCTATGTCGAATTAGACTTCATCGTATACTCTTTTATTAAGATACCATTAGCTTAAGATATACCAAACAAGTTCAATAAACACGAATTAAAAGATGGAAAATAAATGAAAAAGGACACCAAAGTTCGACGTGAATACAATAGACATGTTTAATATATCGAATTGGACTGAATATAATTGAACTGTCCCAAAAAAAAGGAAAAATTGACAAAGACAAGATAGGGCCCATATGGGTTTTTTTTTCTTGGCGTGGGTTCTCTTCGTGGAACTAAAGCCACTCCAAATAAAATCTTCAAAAGTTGGACACGATTTGCTTTATTCTTACTCTTTTAAATCAATTCATTTTTATATTAGTGAAGCATAGAATTCTTACCTTTTATTGCTTAAAAAAAAAGAATTTTGCTTAAAGTACCCTTTGCACAATTCTTTTCCCCTTCTATTTTTGGATAAAAACCAGAAACAATAAATATAGTTGTGGGTGGTAGGAATTTAACTATCACGTTAACTTTTGAACGATTTCAATTTCGAAATACTCTTTTTTGTTACATAATTTGCTAGATAGTCAGGTTTTTATTGAAAAATTGCAGAATGTAACATTTAAGTGATGCCTTTATTCCGAATAAAAAGGTTTGGGAGCGAAAGAAAAGAATATCTAAAGGAAATTTTTGAGAATTTTTTTTCCTTTTCATTCTTTTATATGGTACGAGGGAACAAAAAGTAATAAATAAATTTCGATTATTTTTAAAAGAATGGGAATTAAAACTCATCATACATTATTTATCATAACAAAAAAAAGAAAAAAGAAAAAAATCATCTTCTAATGAAGGCCGCACATCCCCAATCTACTTGTCCACCATGAGCATATCATCTTATCTACTTGTTCTTATTTCTATTCTCTCATCCAAATTCGAATTTTATCCATTGAGCAATCTTTGTCTACTCTAATAAATCATTCGGATTTCAACTAGCTCGAATCGGTTTGAATTCGACTCTATTTTTGAAGTGAGAAATGTTTACACAAAATTCTTGTAACAATTTAGCCCCCCGTTTAGTGCACATTTTGAAGGTAAGAATGCATTTTTACTATTGATGTGATGGAGAATATATGGTTGAAAAAGAGGGAAAATTATTAATGTGATGAAAAATATTATTTTATTCAAGAATGCGTGGTTGAAAATGAATAGGAGAATGTGAATGAAAAAAATAATGTGGACCAAACAGAATGAAGATTTAGATGATTTCTACGTTGGTCTCAAATTATTTAATTATAATGAAATATTGATGAGTGAGTTTTTTGATTTTAAATATAAAGACTAACTTACCTTTTGGATCCCAATGTTACTATGTAAAAGTGAAACTTTGACTAACTAGTCAACGTCGGATGTGCGTTGCACGTTATTATGAAATATTTTATTAGTGTTATAAAAGTGATATTTAAATATGCGTGGATGTTAATTAATTTAAAATTAATATCGGGGAATATAAAAGACAATAAATGTTAAATCATTTATTTATTTTTTAATTAAGTGAAACTAGATGTTAGTTATCATAATGCATTTAGAATGTGAAATTCTAATTAACTTATAACTAGAATTAATAACACTGAAATGTATAAATAAAGATAAATATTAATTAATTGAGAATTAATAATAGGGAATTCATACATTAATTAAAGCACACAGACAAAATGAATATGTCAAATGTAAATGTACATAGATGATAATTGAATGGTTAAATAAATTAAATACACATTAAAAAAAGAAAATTAAAGTATTATTGAAATAAATGAATTATAATATGATTAAAATCGTCAAAAAAAATGATTCTCATGTGATATTTAATATATTATAGATAAGTAAATTTTAAAATCACAAGTAACTTATTTTAAAAATAAGAAGAATCAAATTGATTCTACTTTGCTAAAAAATTACTGACAGGGTTGTAAGTCCATTTATTGACTTTTATATATGGTGTCAGTCACTCGTTAGTGAAAGTTTTGGAGTGTGTTTGGTAGAAATTTTTGGGGGAATAATTGATTTTTGAATAGTGATATGATGGGAAATTGTGTGGTTGAAAAAGAAGAAAAAAGTATTGATGTGAAGGAAAATATTATTTTATTGAATAATGTGTGGTTAAAAATGAGAATCTGTACCAAACAGGATCTGGGTGTCATTTGCTAGTTCAATGGCTTCATCTTCAGTTTTGA